TGCCTTCGATCCTTCCCTCCTTCTTGCCTCCGGTTTTCTCTGTCGTGCATAAATTGGCCATGTACAGTCTCTTGAGTGACGGAAAGTCGTTCGGGACTCACTAGTCCCGACACATTCCCCCCACTCATTCACGATGTCCTCATCGCGCACCAATCCATAGTAGGTAGGGGTTTGGGGACGTAGAGGAAGGGGGAGAGAGGGCGTGGTAAGACAGGTAGGTAGCTTGCTAGGGTTCGTTTTGTTCTTTTGCCGCTCCTTCCTCAGGGCGTTATTTTAGTTTCCGCCCCTTGGGGCGGAGGAGGGTGTGGAAGATCACAGACCATTTTCAGGCTTTTCTCTCCTCATTCATCACTCTTAGGATGTCAGTCGGGTCCATTCTCGGTTATCATCATTCTCAATGCCTCTTTCCTTTGGGTCCTTTGGCCCATGCAATCCCTTTTTTCAATACACCTTTCCTTCGGGTCCTTCGGCCCGTGCAATCCATGTTTTCAATACAACTTTCCTTTGGGTCCTTCGGCCTGTGCAATCCATGTTTTCAATACAATTTTCCTTCGGGTCCTCCGGCCCGTGGAATCCATGTTTTCAATTCAACTTCCTTCTGGGTCCTTCGGCCCGTGCAATCCATGTTTTCTGTTACTCTTCCCTGAAGCTCAGGCCTAGTCAAACCCACATACATTTCCCCCGGGTCATTTTACCCGGCCTTTTCAGGTCTTGCCAATTTCGCATGCATATCACCCTTTATCCTTTCTTGCCCTTTGCTTAATTAACTTTTCATGCGCAATGCTCAGTTCATCCCTAATACATCTCTTTTCTAGACTCTTTGTCAGACCTTCTTTTCAAGCCCAAGCAAGCCAATTACTCATCCATTTCCCAGCCTGCCAGTCCTTTTCTCGGGTTCATGCAAAGTCTCTCATACAAGTCTTGCCAGGCTCATTTTCTCAAGCTCATACCAAGTCACTTGCCTAAGTCTTTTCGGCCCTGGGCCTCTTGCCAGACCCCTTTTATAGGCCCATGCAAAACCAATTACACAAGTCTTTTCTATTATGGGCATCTTGCCAGACCCCCTTTTCTCAGGTCCATGCGAAGCCAATTGCATAAGTCTTTTCCATGCGTTTTTCGTTGATAGATGACACACCTTTCCCCCACTCAAAACGCGATGTCCCCATCGCGCGACTGGTTCTCAGTCGGAGATACGCAAACCTTTGGCCTGCCGACCGCAGTCAAGGACACAAGCCAATCCGCTTCACAAAAGGAAGAGTGATCAGTTCCTCCCAAGCGGTTGACGTCTCATCCTCCTACTCGATCTGACTTTTTTTCTATTACGTGGCAAGCACCAATACTGAGGTTCCTCCTCATATCTGGCAGGTAGGTCGTCCAAACCGCTCAGGGCCTTGTCTAGCCGTAAGAGCTTTCCTTGCGAATCGTTCCTCCCGAGTGGTAGTTTTCTGGATCCGGCCTCTTCCTTTCAAGAGAGTTGGGGCTCTCTATTAGTCCGCGAGTGCAGTTACGAAGACCTGGCAATTAGTCCCGAAACGGTTGTAATGTTTCGGCAGGGCAGTGTCAATGCCCCGTGGTGGTGGCGGCGGCCTCCACCCGGTACCTCGCCCGGCTCCTCCCCTTGGACAGTGCTTCCCAACTTAGTGCGGGCAGCCGAGGTTCGACCCAAACGGCCATGTCACCCCTCCATGGTATGACGTATGGTTGGAGAGTAGGAAAATAGACTAGAATAAGAATGACTCTCTCGCCCATTTGGTTCTCTCACCCTTTGACGTTTAGACTCTCATCACGATGCGCAATTTGAACTCCCCGACTAGAGCTCATTATCGGGGTCAGTTCCGGACGTCCCGCACCGATCCAAGTGGGAGGCCTTGGTCCTTTAACCCTCATCCCCTTGTAAGAGGAACAGGTCGCATTGAGACTTTTCCCTTTAAGGGATAGAGGTCTTGGGGTCGCGGTGCAAGCACCGGCCAAGGACTAGAAGGAAAAAGAAATTCATTTCAATGTTATTTTCATGTTCATTTCAAGTTTTCTAGGGTCCCCTATTTATGCAATGCAATTTCCAGTGCTCATTCCAATTCCAATGCTCAATCCAAGTCCAATGCTCAAGCCCATTCCAAAGCTCAATCCAATTCCAATGCTCAGTCCAATTCCAATGCTCAGTCCAAGTCCAATGCTCAAGCCCATTCCAAAGCTCAATCCAATTCCAATGCTTAGTCCAATTCCAATGCTCAGTCCAATTCCGAGGCTCAATCCAATTCCAAGGCTCAGTCCAATTCCAATGCTCAGTCCAATTCCAAGGCTCAATCCAATTCCATGGCTCAATCCAGTATCTCTTCCAAGGCTGAGTCAAATATATTTTCCAAGGCTGAGTCCAATATCTTTTCCAAGGCTGAGTCCAATATTCTTGCCAAAGCTCAACTCTTCTCAATCTCATCCATCTCAGGCAATCATGCAAGGGGACCCCAGTGCAAATTCCAAAGAATGACCCTTGTCAGGGACCATTCCGAACAACCTGGTTAGGGTCGTTCTTATCCATTTCCTTAGGACAGCCTGGTTAGAGCCATCCTTATCCATTTCGATCGGACAGGCTGGTTAGGGCTATCCTTATCAATTTTCATCGGACAGCCTGATTAGGGTCATCCTTATCCATTTCCATCGGACAGCCTGGTTAGGGTCATCCTTATCCATTTCCATTGTTAGCGCCCGAGGAGGTGGGCCTCGAGGACACGGATCCTATCTCTGTCTCAGAGGTTAGAAGGTGGTCATCTCTTGGGTTTTGCGCATGTCTTTGTCTTTTGTCATGTGCCAATTATCATTCTCATGTCCATACATACATCCGACTTCGCGTTTAGTGCTCGAATTGAGGCTCGCAACCTCAAGCAGCACTAGCCCGCCCGGTCGTTCAACCATAGCGAAGGGGGTGTGTGTCATCACTGTTTTCTTCCTCTCTCTGTCCTCTCATGCCTCTTGTTGCTCTTGACTTATCCGGGACTGGTTGGATTAGGCTCCTAGGGAAGATGATTCTTCATGCCTCTTTACCCATAGGTCCCCTAACCTCTCTCAGAAACTCATACCATGACTCATTCGACCAGGGGTGGACATTCAAAAGAAAACTCTTTGCCATAGACTTTCTTCAATCTCAACAATTCACACGCTCTCGCCCTTTCCCAAAACAAAGTCAATCATTCCTCGTTTGTCTTCCACCATCAAAGATCCCCATATTTTCAAAGGAGCAAGTTCTTATGCAAAGTACCATTAGCTACCTAGTCCCTGTTTACTTCTCTAGTTCAAGGAGCAAATCTGTCGCAGTTTTTCCCAAAAAAGGAGACAAATTCGAATGTAAAAGTGACATCACAGGCTTGTCTCATCTAGGTCCCCTCCTTCTTCCCTTCGCTCTCTTTGAACGAAACCAGCCCTTCATAGTCCTAGTCCCAAGCGGATTGACCCTCACGCCCTTTTTGAAGAAGCAACTACTTATGCAAAGTAGCACTAGGTGTCCAGTCCTTAGTCATTCCTTGCATGGAAAGTTGTCTCAGAGTAGTTTATTCCAAAAAAAAAATTCAAATACGAAGCTCAAAATGACAGTTCTGCCAGTCCCAGGTACCCATCCTTCCCATTGTCTAGCTATTCCTTGCGGTGTCTACTGCTCCTTTACCGCCGAGTTGCCCTGTGTCGAGCCTCCCTTGCACAATTGTCGATCTCTTGCTGCATCGTTCTCTTTGTCCTTTGCAATTGTAGGAGCGCCTCTTTTGTGAAAAATGTTGTTGGCGCTATGTCCTCTCCTTTGCTCGGCTTCTCATTTCCTCTCATCGTCCACTCATACTGCATGATACTGGCTCATTGATCGAACTAGTCATTGCAAGATGACCCAAACTCTCTTATCCATTTGTCCTTCTCTTCACTTGGGTCCTCAACCCTTCACCGTACCTCTCTCGTGGGCGTTGTGACCTTATCATCCTTTTCCTCACTGCTGAGGTTTATGACCTCGTTGGACTCTTCCTCTTCCATCCTCTGCCTCTTCCCTAGACTCCCATCCTCCTCGCTACTGGTGTCACTGTCAGATGTGAGAACTATCGGTTCCCCCTCTCTCAGGGGAGAGGGCCCCCTGGTCCCTTGCTTCCTTCCCCCTCTGTTCACAACCAAGTTGAAGTCAAATCCCACGTACAACTTCCTTTTCCTGGAACTTGATTCCCTAGCCTGTCTTGTTGCTTGTTCCCCAGTAGGCCTGTTAATGGCATTGCTGCCGTTTTCATTTCCAAATTCCATCTTTCGCCTTTTCCTGTTGCTTTCTCCTTCCCTGGTCCTGTTCATTCATAACAAGTCACAGCATCCCTCATGGACACACACTCCCTTCCACTCCCATTTGCGAGTTTTACACGCTTGCCTAGAACCCTTGCTTGCCCCATATGATCGGTAGTCCCATTATCCCCTCCCCAAAACTTTGGTACATTCTCCCGATCACATAAGCTCCCCATGTAGACAGTCCCCAGAATTGCCCCACAAAAACTATGGTACATTGCCCCGGGCTCCCAACCCCATTCATATTCAGCCCAGGCAGTCACCCCATGCCCCAAGGGAAAGAGGACACAAAAATGAACAATTCCCTGCAATCATGATCACTTGCGCAGGGCGGCGCTACAAAACTTATGGCCAGCTTCCTGCCTTTCAAGTTGTCAAGTCCCATGTTTCCTTATCCTGAGCCTCATGTAACCTGTGTAGTACACCGAACATGTTCGGAGCTTTTTCGAACGTCCGAACATGTTCGGGTGTTCGGCCGAACGCCACCCGAACGTGTTCGACCGAACATATTAAAAAAAAAAAAAAAAAAAAAAACGTTTTTTTGGTTTTTGATTTTTAACTCGAGTTTGGTTAAGAATTTGACCATTACTCCAAGGCAAAAGTTGCTTGTATTATTATTTGACATAACATATATTGTTTTTAGCGTTTTTGTTGAAATTGGCTTTTTTTTTTTATAAATATTTTTTATATTCGCGTTCGGAGAGTTTCGGCGCTCGTTCGCGTTCGGTCCCGAACGTTCGGGTTCCGTCACCGAACCCTAACACGATGCTACACAGCCTGTAACCATCGCTCCACCGGATCTCTGCTAAAAAACATGACCAGCCTCTGCCCCAGAAATGACCCTTTCATCCCAGTACCATCGAGATCCTCAAGTTCAAACATGTTCAATCCCACCCTCTTAGCGATCTTGTAGGGACCTTTGAACCTTCTTCCCAGTTGTCCTGACCATGTGTTTTCAAAAGCCGAGTTCCTAACTAGTACCTTCTCTCCCACCTGGAGCGGCTCCATCTGGATCTTCTTTACCTGGTCCCACCTTGCTTTGTCCCTCATTCGACTATCCATTACATTTTTAACCACATCCTCCAAGGCTTCCTCATTTCTAGCGACCTGTTGGCAACGTGCGGCAGTTAGTTCCTCCGTAGACATGTGCGGATTGTCATCTAGCCTGTTCCAAGTAGGAACCAGGGCTTCCACCGGGAGATCAATCTCCCTCTCATAGCAGAATTCTGCCGGAATGCATCCTGTCATCCTTTTCGGCGTCATGTTCTCTGAGAAGACCGCCTGCTTAAGGTACCGAGGCCAGTTCCCCAGATCATCGACCGCCAACTTAGCGATTGTGTTTTTCAAGGTCCGGTGGCCCCTTTCTACTGGTGCATTTGCCTCCGGGTGATACGGTTCAATGATCTTGATAGGTACGCACAAAGCCTTAAGCCTGCCCAACACCTTCTGGTTGACGAACTCCGTCCCATTGTCCGCTATGAACCTGCGCACAAAGGGGTGTCTAAGGTAGAAGTCTTCTATCCAATCGGCCACTCCCTTTCTCGTCTTTCTCTTAAGAGTCACCGCCTCTACGTAGCCACTGAGGTTATCCCTTGCATCCAAGATGTACCTGTATCCATCCGTTGATACAGGCATGACCGCAAGGTCAAGGTGGACCAGGTGCCCCGGCCCCAATACCCGGATAGGTCTAAGGAGCTCGAAAACACATGCGGAACTCCTTTCTTGGCATATCAAACACGTTTGACAGTACGTAGCCACCATACCTGTCATACCTGGTCAAAAGTAAAGTGGCGCAAATTTTGCAAGAGTCCCTTGGATGACCGGTGCCCTCCGGCCAGTCCATCATGCATTGCTTAAATTATGTCCAACTGCCTGGACCTTCCTTACACGACACGCCTAGGCATCATTCCTTCTTCTTTCTTGAACAGGTGACCGTTCCTCTAAGCCTTGAGGCTGAGATGTCATCATACATCTGTATAAGGAAGAACTCTCGTTCCTTCTGATTGGTGTCTTGCTCCCCATGAGCTTGATTCACTAGATACTGTCGCTCTCGTCGCGTTCAAGTTTCTACTAGATTCATCACAGTATCCCGGTCCCCTTCAACGGCCATTGCCATCAGCTCTTCCTTTGGCCCCATCGTTGCTCCCCACAAAATCCTTTTCATCCTTGCGTCTAAATGCGATGACTGGTCCTTCCCTGAGTTCCGCAACTACGGCGGGCGCGCCCTTTTCTAGGGTCTGAATCAGCAGTTGGTCCATTATAGGAGCGGTGTCTGCCATCTCGTTATTTACGACAAGGGTCCCCCCTTCGTATTCTAGGAAAGCATCGATCAGTTCCACATCCTCTACTCCCTCCGGCCTAATGCAAACCCGACTTAGCCCGTCTGCCCTATTTCCAAGTCCCGCAATTCGCTCGACCTTGTAGTCGAATTGCCTTATGCAGCCTATCCATCTCCCAACGGTCGGGTCTATAGGCTTGTAGTTTTTTAATGCCCGCGACATTGGTCGGATCGATTCTCATGATAAACCGTCTCCCGAATAGGTATGCTTGAAAAGTCTTAAGGCAATGTAGAATGGCTAAGACCTCTTTCTTGAACTGCAAGTACCGTTGCTCTGTCGAATTCAGGGTCCTGCTCTCAAATCTGATAGGCCTCTCCTTACCTTACTCGCTTTTCTGTATCAGGACTCCACATACTGCCAAAGGTCCTCCGTCTGTTTCTAAGATAAAGGGTCGTCCTACTTCATCATTGAAGCAGGGCGCTGCCAAGGTGACTTGGTCGGAAGACAAGACGTCTTTGAGGGTCTGGACTGCCTCCTCCCTATCCTCAGTCCACTTCATGGTCCCGCCTTCCCTAATCATTGCGCGGATAGGTTCAGCTATCTTGACAAAGCCCTCAATAAAAATTCTCCAGAATCCGACCACCCCTAGGAAGGCTCGTACTTCCGTCGTGGTGCGCAGTGGTGTTGGCCATTGAGAGATCTTATCCGTTTTTGTCGGGTTAGGTTTCCTTCCATAGGCCCCACAGCGAAATCCCGGTATGGTCACTACTGGGACCGCCAGGATGCTCTTAGGTCCGATTGCGATAATATAATATATCAGGAACCGCTGAAGCTTCCTTGATATCCTGTAGATGATCCTAGACAAACTTTCGTATGTCGGGCTGGACCTCTGTCTCATCCTTGTTTTGCGCGCCTTTTATGGGATTATCGTCTATGTAGGGCTCGCATTTTTTCGGAAACATGTCCCCTGCAATCGCAACCATCCTCCTCTGCGCCTCTGCCTTAGCGTTTGTAAAACCCATAGGGGTCACCTGCATCTGCAGCTGCCCTACCGGGGTGTGCATGGCAGTGTATGGTCGGTCCCTAGCGTCGAGTGGCAGTTGATCATATCCCGGATATAAATTTATCAAGGAGTAAACGTTACGGCCGACATGAGATTCCGCCAGCAGATCTGCCTGTGGAAGCGATCCCGCATCTCGGATTGTAACCACATTTAGTTTCTGCAAGTCCTCGATCTATCTGAGCGTTTTGTTGGGCTTCCAAAAAACGAACCACTTGTTCGCATAAGGGGATGCGGTGGGTTCGGCCACGAATGAATCTATTTTGGCCCTGAGCAACTCAGTGACTTCCGCTGCTATTCCGAACTCGTAGGAAGGCCCTTTGTCGTTTCAACATTCGTATTTCGCTATGTGGATCCTAACGGGGGAAATTGACTTTTCGTCTAATCGGCCTTTATGGTGGTCATTGAAGGCCAAGGCTAAATGAAACTCCTAACACGCTTTCCTTATCAGCTGAGTCTCTTCCGCCGTTAGGAACCCTTCTACCCCTATCTTCATGGTATCCGCTATCTCATCAGGTATCCGGTGCTGTTCCGCTGCTCGGCTCTCCCTTATTCTCCGCAGAATTTCTTCCTCCTTTTCCATAGCCTCTTCCCTTGATGTTTCCACTAGGATCGAGACCGTCTTGGCTTTCTTCTCTATGGGTTTGTACTTTCGCACACTCCCTTATGGGATCGTTCTCCTAAAAAATGAACGGTCAGGATCGGCCTTGCTACCTCCAGGACGCGGGGCTGGATACTGACTAGCTTCCCGTTCAGACAGTAGCCCTTTCGGACCCCGTCTTCGAATTTGACAAGCGTTGAGGGGTCGACCCCCACCTTGTGGTACTTGATGGCCTTAACGAGTTGTAACAAGTCTGGGATTTCAAGCACCACCTCCGGCGTTTCCTTCCAGCCTTCCTTTGGTTTGGGCAGGCTGACCCCAAGTTCGACTTCCAACTCTTTTTCTGCCACCATAACTTCCAGGACCTCGTCCTCTTGCCTTCTCTTCTTCAGAGGTAAACCCATCTACATCCACTCCTTGCTAAAGGCTTCCTTAATCATGATCTCTACTCTTTCCCTCATACCTTTCATTCGTGCGAATGCCCTCTTTCGCGCACTCTCTTTGAAGGTTGGCGACCAGGTTGCCAATTTGCCCTTCGCGGGATCCCCTCCTGTCCCAAGGAGTCGGAGGAGTTCTCCCCGGTCGGTTACGGGGTCCTCTATATCCACCATGTATGTGCCATCATGCAGATGCATACCTATCATCTCTACATTGGCGCACCATGGCCTCCCGAGAATTATGTCATGGCCCATTTCTTCCATCACGATCATCCGCTTGAAGGACCAAATCGATTCCTTGATCCCTGCCCTCACTGCGCATTTCGTGACGTACCCTTCAAAAAGAATCTCCCCGCCGGCTCCCCGGATACTCCCCGTCACTTCCTTGTTTACGGTGCAGCCGGTAATTGTTGCAAAGTCTCGTCGTATGAGGGTAATTTTCGCACCACAGTCCACTAATGCATCCGTGTGGTGGGTTCCGATATGGACCTTCAGCTTTCCTACGGGCAATGCATGGAAGCTAAGCTTCGTCCCGGGGGGTGCCCTCGTGACTTCTCCGCCCTCTCGGTCCGGTAGGCTTAGGCGGATATCTGCAAAGGCCTTCTCCAGGTCCTCCAGATCCCCTGGGATCCTTTGGAGGTTGGAGACTCCTTGCGGTGTCTCAGCCTCTTCCGTTTCCTGCTCCTGTGGTTCCGGGGACTCCTCTACCTCTACGCGTCGGCGCGTTAGTAATTGCCTGAGTCCTTTAAGCAATCTCGGGCTTGCCTGCAACATGGTGTGAAAGAATACAGATACCATGGTACCTAGCAGTTTGCTCAGAGTATAATCGATTTCTGGCAAGGTCAGAATTGGGATTTGGTACCTGAACTACTTATTTGCCGCCACGACTTTGTCTATCGGCTCCTCTTCCCTTGTCTTTCAAAAAACCTTCTCCTGTTCCCCGGTCTCAGCTTCACCTTGATCTGCACTAGTCTCCGCGACCTCTTCCATTACCATATCTCTAATAAATTTATTTTCTGCCCCTGCCCGACGGGTGGTGATGTTCACCCTATCTTGCCCATTACCTTCTAGGATGAAATTCACCTGTGGTCCGCGCCCCCTCGGCTGATCCCAAACAATGTCAGCTACCGGTTTAGCTTCTACGACAACTGTATCCAGATTGTTCAGAAGGATGACGGCACGCCGCATTCCTCCTAGCGAATTCCAATTTATGCGCTCTCCCTAAGACCCGAAAATTTCACCCTTAAAGAACCTGCTGCATCTCTGCCTCATGATATCATGGTTGAGTCGTGGGAAGGTCCGTACGAAATGTCCGACCATTGTACAATACTCGCATTGCTCATTGACCGGATCCCTTCTGCCATACCCTCGATTTGCTACCGCCGCCGGAACCACGGCCTCTTGGGGAGGAAGGGCGGGTCGGGACACCTGCGCCTGCATTACTAATAGCGCATTTTCCACTCTTTCTATCTTGTTATCAACCCCGTGCACCCGTTCGTGCAGACTCTCTATCCCCTTCTTGACCTTGTCCTCCGTCTTCCCAGTCAAGTCTATAACCTCGCCTTCCTTGAGCAGGGCTAGTGTCTCGGTCACTACTGTCTTTTCTGCGAGGTCTGTTACCTTGTTGAAATCCACATCCCTTGTGTATTCGAACTTACTAGTCTGCTGGTAGGCCGACAAGATCTTATCCTTGTCGAACTCGGATAAATGCCTGAGGAAGTACTTACTCATTATACGGTCTGTTACCCCGGGAATTCGTAGTGCCACTAGAGTAAACGCCCTTAGGAATTCGTTGTAAGTCGTATAGTTCTTCCTTTGGACTGCCGCCAACTCGGCTTCTGTTGCCATTTTCTCTGCCTTCAGGTACTTTCTCATCATCTCGTTGCGGGTCTCTTTCCAGGATCCACTAGAGGTGACAGTAGTCATAATGTCCCTTCCTAAGCTTAGCGACACATGCTGCCCTAAGTGGTCAATCTTTTCTTCCTCAGTCCATTTCAGCAAGGTCGCCAAGTTCTCGTAGTCAATTAGGAACTCCGTAACGTTTGTCCCGTCGAAAGTAAGTTTTTTCTTGGCATCCGCAAGATACCCCTGATTCTTATTCAGCGCCCGAGTGAGGGTGGCTACTATCCTCTTGAGGCCCCCTTCGGAGCTCCTTGTTTCACCGACCTCACTGGTCCCTTCTCCTTCCTTGGTATCCCTATGCTTTTCCCCGGCCTTTGGCGTAGCCTCTGGATCAAACCATCCTAACACCCTTTCCCTGAGACTCCAAAGTCAGTCGCACACCTTGGTTGTTTTCGGCGTGGCGGGCAAATGGCTGGTACCACTGTCTATGGCAAGTGGGTCGTTGCCTTTTCCGCCTCTACGGCTGGGGAGTCCCCATTTTCCTTACCCTTCTTACTGGGCGCGCCCCTATGGCTATTGTCCTTCCCTCTGAGCCTGACTTCGCCTTGACTGACCTTGCGCTCTTCTCGTGACCCTTCTCCCAAAAGGTCTCCTTCGTTCCCAGCCATCATCTCCTCGATAAGCCTTGCCTTATATTCTGCGTCCGTTTTTCTATTTCTGCCAGCTTACGACGTGCGTCCGAGACTTTCGTTTTCTTGGGTGTGGTTCCGTCAGAATTTCGAGGACTCGTCCTGCCGTTGTCCTCTTTTTCCCTGCTTTGCTGGGGTGCTCTTTTGCTTCCCCTTTCCCCGAACTTTCCCATGTCGAAAGGTCCTTCCCATCTTCCCTGGTCCCCTCTGGTTTTGCCGACTCTCGATCCCTTACCGACCCTTCGTTTCGTTCCCCGCCTCTATCCGTGCCGTTACTCCCCTTGTTCCGCAACCCTTCGGCCTCCTCTTCTGACACCATCCCTTTACCTACCTCGCAGATGGAATTTTTTTTTGCGAAACGGTCGGTTGTTCATGGCTTCCCTAGTTTGCAGGCCCTAAGGTCCCTTTATTCTTACTTATTTCCACGTTTTGCCGTCTTATTTTTGTCAAGACGACTTACCTGACAATTTCGTACGGGGCGTCGTTCTGTCTTTCTTCTGCCGGAAGGCTCGCTGTCGAGGTTTGGCGTTTCGTCACTGTCGTGCCCCGGTTCCTTAGCGCTGTGTCTGAGGCTAGTGGCTCTCCCCTCGAGGGTAGCCCTGTTGACTTCCTAACGGGTGGATGCCCCAGCGTCCTTCAGCACGGGTGGTCTTCCAAGTTCCCTCCTGCCACGACCTCAGGTAGGGCGGAACTCCGACCACTACTCCCTTGCTGACGGCTAGCTTCCCATTCCGGTTTTTCGCCTTTTACTTTTTCCCGGTACTTTTTTCCTCACGCCGGTCCCTCAGGTCTGTCTCGCTCATCCGGTTTTTCAAACAGATCGGCCACCCCTGCAAGATAGTTTTCTCCCATTTTTATTTCCCTGATAATTATTGGTTCATATTCCTCAAACGCCATGCGTGGTAACTTGAATATCAGGATTTCGATGAGTTCGAGTAGTTCACGGGCCTGGTTTCCCCAAAATGGTCCGTGCCTAACTGACACATCGTAAAACATTCCCATCGTCTGCGAACGAAAGTAGTGGTTCCAGACTAAAGTCGACTCCACCAGGCTTCTTGCCCTTGAGAGGCTGCCAAATACCAAGTCCACCATGAAGCGAGGCACTCAGCACCGCAGTCCCGTCATCGGGCCCTTAAACTCTCGCCATCCTCCTACCTCCACCCGGGTTCTCAGCCCGACGTTCCTTCTTCCTCGCACCTCCTGGCCTATCCGGTCCACTATCGTAGTAGCCCTTTGGAAGATTGATAACATCCCATGCCCTAGTGCCAACTCTGTTCCTAGCATGTGTCATCCAACCTCCGCCAGGTATACGGTTCCTGTTACCTTCAGGTTGGTATACAGGTCGTCCCCTGGTCCCCTTTCGAACCTCATCCCACTCCACAAGCACTCTACCATCATGAACGCTTGGTCCCTTCCCAAGGTCACGGCTCTCCATTCGGTGTCAATTCCTCGGACCATGTAGCTTGCCGGGAGCGATACCTCCCATCCGCCTCCACTTTCCGTGTGTGGTCGAGGGTGCGTGGGCCGTCTCGACATTCGTGCGTGTCTCATCGCCATTTGTTGATTAGCGGTCCCCTGCACAGTTTAAACAGCAAGCGAGTTTTGCTTATTTCATCCATTCGTCGGCCTCACCCGGGCAACTCCCCGGTCCTTAACTTCGATATCCTTCCCCCTTTTTTATTCCTCCCTCTTTTTCTTGCCTCTCCTACCGGCCTGTCTCTACTTCCATTGGCTCATACAAGCGGTACGGGTCATCTACATAAGTCATTCCCCGACTTATCTCTCGTCGAACAACGCCCCATAGAACCCCGTCGCTAACGACCGGAGCCCTTGACCTGGTGGTAAATACGGCGCGCAGGATTCGCAATACTTCATACCTCTGCTCTCCGTTGAACCACCCCATTCCTAGGAAGGCACGATGAGCACAAAAAGCACGGATCCACGATCATGCACCAAGTTCACGATGAGCACCAAAATCACGGATCCACGATCATGCACCGAGTTCACGTAGAGCACCTAAAGAAAGTTAACGATGAGCACCAAAAGCACCACGATCATGCATCGAGTTCACGTCAAGCGCCTAAAGCACGGATCCACGATCATGCACCAAGTTCGCGATGAGCACGAAAAGCACGGATCCACGATCATGCAGCACGTTCACCATGAGCACCAAAAGCACGGATCCACGATCATGCACCAAGTTCACGTACAGCGCCAAAAGCACGGATCCACGATCATGCACCAAGTTCACGATGAGCACCAAAAGCCCGGTAATACTCTCGGTGAACTATCGCGTCCTCAAACGTCAGGTTGGCGAGGTCGGCCACAGCCCTCCTGACAAGCTTCACCCCGCCTAACCTTTCTAGCAAAAAGGGTGGCAATCTCATCCGAACGTTTTCACTAGGCAGCTCGAAGCTTCCGACCATGATTACTTTAAGGTTAGCTGTCACGTCATCAAGTTCTGGGTCTGCGAATTCGAACCCCGCCTGCCACACTAGTTGCCACGCTCCCTCGAACATACTTAACGGATCTTCCCCTGATGCCAACAAGACTCCGAACGCCCGCCACCCGTCCTGGGACGCATATAACTAACCTTCCGCACGCACGTGTTCCCGTGGGTCCGGGTTCCATTCCCCGTTTTCATCCACACGCCACTCAATTCTCGTCACTAAGTGAACCGTGTTTTCCATAAGCTCAGCCCCGACCCAGTCCACCACCGGGTGCCAACCCTCGCTCGCGACAGGCAGACTAATTTCTATTCCACCAGCCACATCCCTTGGCGGCTCAATGCCCAGCGGGCGGTCCTCAAGGAACGTCCTTCTTGGTGCCATTGCGCGCCTGTCCTTGGTCTCCTTATTCCGCAGTTTGCAATGAACCCTACAATGGTCAGACATCTCACTCCCTTATCTCAGTAGTATTCCACACTCGCCTGGCCCGCGGCTTTCCCTGCTCCTAGTCGAACCACAGTACCTCGAACAGCTTAAACACATCATCCACATAGCAAGGTGTCACCGCTACCTCCCGGTGGATTATAGCCTCCCTAATTTTCGAAGCTATCTCTAATTGGTCGTACCTATCCATATTCAGGATGATGAGGACCTCCCAAGCTCTATCGCCATGGAAAGGCCCGTACTTCGGCGATGTTTTATAAAACTCCTATGACAACCATGTATAGTTTATGCATACCCGTTCCATAGTGCTAGCCACTTCCGCAACATGGTCAAAACCCCCAAACCAGTTCACTATGAACTCGGGGACCCAGATCCTCTTTCGCAGGCAGGGTGGCCTGGATTCTTTCCATCCCCCCATTACGACCCTACTGTGGTCCTCATCCCATCCCTTATTGGCAAACCTCTCACCCGCCTTCCAAGTCCTCGCCTCTGCTCCCTCCAGAAGCCACATCGGATTTTGCCCTGCCGCTATCGTGGTGCAGAACAAATGTCACCCCTGTTCCGACAAGACGACCGTCCCAACCGATTCCACCTTTTCTTCTGCGATATCTTCCCTTCCATCTCCCTCCCTAATGGGGTTCCAGATGCGTTCTATCCACAGATACGACAGTTCCGGTGCGATCTCAAGCCCGACCCAGTCACACGTCGCTCCTCGCCACTCACATTCCGCCGGCAGGGACATTTCTACTCCCCCTCTAATTCGTCTCGGTTCCCACCCTTTGAACGTGCAGTCCCATAACTGGAGTTCCCGGGCCATCGTTCCCTACCTGCACATAGCCGACAGCCCATTCCCCGGGTATGTCCCCCCCTTTCAGAAGTCCTAATCTTCCATCTCGTCCTCGTCCTCATCATCACCGAAATCCTCCTCCCCATCAAAGAACAACTCTTTCAGCCCTTCTAGGAAGGTCTCCCCTACTGCCACACTTCGATAGATTATCTGCCAATGCACTGAACTAGGTACAAAGACATCATCCGCGCGGAGGAGGTTCAATACCTCTGCTAATTCCTCTGCCCAGTTCCCTCCGAATGACCCATTTCTACCAACAGCCTAAAGAAATCCTGCCGAGCACACTGGTACAGCCTTAAGTGTGTCATCGACTGACATATTTGTTCCAATCTGCCCCTGGTCCCAAAGACTGCATCCTCCAGAAACGGAGGTAGCACGCACCTCATCGTCCTAAGAGGTCGTCTCACGTTTTCCCTATCTCCGAGCTCCACTTGCACCTCTACTTTGTCCATTTTCATTTCCGCCCGTTGACATGCCGCCCATACCACTTCTCGTTCCGCCTGTCTAAACAGCTGGTACGGCACCGTTCCCAGTACTAATCCTATTACCACTGCATTTTCCATCTCCTGGGATAGGTAGACCCACCCGCGGGCTTCCACTGTTCCCCAGAATTCGAAGTCCATCAAGCTTGGCGATAGTCTCGTCAGACTGACCTTGGTCCAGATTGTCTCTATCCAGAGGAACGTGTCCTTTTCATCCAGCATCACAGTTTGGTAGGCTGGCTTCAAGTCTGTCCACGTTCCTTCTTCTAGCAGGACGACAGATACCCCCTCCTTTACGTCTATTGGCATTTCCGGACCGCTAAAATAGGTAGGAAACGAGAACCACCGCGCCATTCCGTTTTTCGACTCCAGTCCTGTTTTCATAAGAGAGCACCACATGGCCCCGTCTTGGTCAGACTACCTCCCTGTCTAGATGAGACTTGTTTCAGACCCCTCACCCAGGTCTACTAATTTTCCCTGCCCATTTTCCCGGCACCATTGTCCCCATTGTACTCCCAATCGGTCATCACCAACCGGCATTCCTTTCTCTTGGTTCCTTTCCTTTCGACTCCTATTCATGCCTACTCACATCTTCTCTCACTCGTGCGGACTTAGACAGGGGGCGGGAATAGACTTAGAACTCAGTTCCCCTCCCAACATCCTCATGCAAACTTTACAGAGAGAGACACAAAAGAAGAAATTCAGGCAAGCTTCGCACACAGGTCGATCATCTCCTCACCGGCCTTTCCCCAAAAGTGGTATCTCCACTGTTACTTTCGGCAGAGTTTTATCCCGTACCTCAAGCACAACTCAACCGTCGTGAGCGCGGTACCCAGGCTCCGGCAAGGCGTTAGCCCTTTCCTTGTACCCAGAATACCCCATCCCGTATTACCGCTTTTGCACATCCATACCGACACCGAGGGTTACCCCATGTGCCTAAATACAGAGACAAAAGTCAGTCATCCGGGCATTCACTTCCATCGGTCCGACAAGAATCAGCCTTTCCCAAACCAAGCTACGAGAAGCTACTAATCGCCTCCGAGMCTCCCTCCTTGTCCCATACGCAGTGGTCCCCCTGCCGTCTGCCGACAATCATCCGCCCCGCCTGAAAGCGTTTCACACCCCGCCTGGACAAGGTCATCGAGCCATGCTGGGACCGCCTGGGTGAGAATGTGAGCTAGTTTTCTTTGGAGTCTAGCAACTCCCTTCATTCCCTTATCCTTGCTTGTGTGTCTGTTCATAGGGCAGGATTGTTCCTTCTTGATTACCCGTTTTGTTCATATGAGGTTCTTTCAAGCATTTCAAGTGTAGTGCAAGGAGCCCGCTGGGCTCCGACGAAGAGAGAAAGAGGCACCCATGTCGGTCCGATCACTTCGCCGCGGGATTTTCATCGGAACCCAGACTAGCCCAGAATCCCAACCGCCTACCAGGTAACTGGAGCCCTTCTTTCACACGAAGAAAAAGGGTCGACCTGCGGCTTGCCCAAGGCTTCCCCGGCCTGACGAACATCAGGCCGAGGGAAGGAGGACTAGAGTCACCTCGCAAGGGAGATGGCTGATTATGTGTTCAACATGCATGTTATACCTCCAGGCCTGGCCTTGCCATGCGCCCAGCCGCCCTCAAATCTGATTCTCTTAGGGGAGGAGAGCATACACAAGTCCTCGTTCCTTATCTTAATGTTGTCTTCGTGGACATGCGTCGGGCGCCCCCCTCGAAATCGTATGGGTCAGCTTAACCCATACCCGGCACCTCCACCATTTTTGTAGGGACCGTACCCTGAAGGACTTTCGAGCCTAAGTCGACCCCACTGCGGGTCCCATTTGGCTCGACCAGCCCACGCTCATGCTCAGGGCGCGGGTTGTTCGTCCCAGGGGCACCCCCACCTAGTGCTATGAGATGGATGGGGATGGCCGTTTGCGAGAGGGTTTTTCATTGGGGGATGTACCTCCGCTCTCGCGTTAGATGGTAGCTCTTTGATCACTCGTGGCGTTTTCTCGACTCGTTTAGGTGTCACCAGGCAATTGCTCCTTCCAATACACATGCAGTCCACGGAGTTCGTTGAGAGTTCGTCTTCTTTCGTGTGTAGGTCAAGCGTCATCCATTGGGCCACACACCTTTTCACTAAACATGACAATCTCTATGGCGTCATCAGGGTGCAGCCGCACCGTCCATGCCCCTAGCCCCTATTTTTTTTTGCTTTGATAACCTTCGTAGTCTCATCTCCATTGTCGCCCTTAGTCTTTTCAGGCTTCCACATTGCACGCAAAGAATCAAGATACGCATCTATCACACAAGTCATGCCTCGTTTCCCAAGTATACAATCATCAAGTCTCACCCGCATCCATATCGTACGCTAGACCCATGCCCTTTCCTTGTCGGTTTTTCCATTCCTGCCCGCGTTCCGCGGGCCCGGTCCCGCTCAATCCATCCTAGGCTACTCACCTGCGCAAGACCACACAAGTCAAGACCACGTACAATCCCCATTGGGGTCAACACATCACCCCTCCCAGAAGCCTAAGTTCTTTTCTCTTTTAATGACCCGTTTAGTTCTCTTTTCCTTCTTTCAAGCAAGCCATGCCTCTTCCTTAGTCATGCAGTCGGGGAGAATGGTTGAATCAAACTGACCTGGTCTCAAACCTTTACTCCTTCAATCCTTTCAAGAGATCCCTCCTTTCCAAATTTTTCGCAAAGATCCCGTTTTCCTTTCCTTCTTGGTGGCACAAGGGACCGGCAGCCCTCCCCTTGCCCTCTCTCTCCACCAAGTGAGGACCCAGTTCTTTTACCGTTCGTTCCCTGGCAATGTAACAAGTGAGGAAAGATTAGTCACGCGCCAAGAAGTGAGAGGAAGAGGGAAAAGGGAGTGAAGGCCGGGGGTCTAGGAGGGAAGAGAGCAAGAGAGAGAGAGAGGGAGAGAGAGAGGGAGAGAGGGAGAGAGAGAGAGGGAGAGAAAGAGAAAGAACGCGGAGAGGGCGAGGACGAAAGAGAATGGAAGAGGGGGAGAGAGAGAGAGAGAGAAAGAAAGGAGAGAGAGAGAGAGAGAGAGAGAGAGAGAGAGAGAGAGAGAGAGAGAGAGAGAGAGAGACAGAGAAAGAAGGTTCACGGTGTTTCTGCATTGTCCTTTGGACATCCGGACATGATGGGTAGCTGCAGTGGAGGGGTAAGGGGGATGATGAAGGAGGCGACGAGGTGCATAGTGACCTTGGTCCCGCGTCGTTCCCTACCCGAGTGTCTGACCCCGTTGCCCGTCGTACCCCCAAGCCTCCGGGGCAAAACACAGTCCACAACACTTCATTCTACAGCTAGCAGGCAGAAAACTCAGACTTTGCAGCAGACCCAGTTGGTAGAAAAACACAGAATTTGCAGGTTTGTGGATTACGGTAATTTTACCGTTTTTGCTGTTTTTCGCCTAAGGTGAAAAGTCGAGATACTCAGCCCTACGTTTCCTGCCCGAAACGACTTTAGAATCACCCAAAATTTAGTGGACCCTCTCTTTATCACAGGGAAGACCTCCACAAAATTTGGTTTCATTCTGACGTCGTTTGGGTCAAGTTGCCCGTTTCGAGCGCCTGCCGGTTCCGGGGTGAATAGTTTGTGGAAGTCCGTTTTCTAATTTTTTCAGAGAACGGACTCCGATGGCCTGCTGGGTCTGCAGGTCACCTGTTTATACTCAGAACATGAGGTCTGAGAATTCTCAGACCTCAATCCCATGTTTTGGCAGCGCTGTTGCCGACGCACCGTCGGCCACACCGGTCCGTTCGCGGTTCCCTAACGGTCCTTGCACTGGCGGGTGGTCACCTTACCGTTTCCTCCGTGGTAGTAGTCTGCGCTGGTCAGATCTGAGCAGCTGTTACAGCCCTACAAATACTCAGTAAAAAAAAACAGAGCAACAGCTCATGCTACTGGAAATCAGCAGCCTACCAACTTCCCCAATTATCGCGTTCGATAGAACACGGGGGGTGGAATCAAGCGGTATCTAGTCTAGAGTAAGAAGAGGAATCAGCAGTTTACCCAAGGGTGAAAAGGCAGACAATGCCAGCATTCTCTACTGTTCAAAACACTAGACTGTATCAAGATTGAAGTTGCGGACCACACCCAAGCGAAGAAACAAGCGAAAACAAGGAGAACGGTAGAGGAAAGACACACACACGGGCTCACATACATAAGGGGGAAAGCTCCGCTGCACATGGGGATGAAAAATAAGACTAAACAGCCACTCCACACTACCCAAACATTAGATGACATCAACATAGAAGTTGTGACTCACACCCAAGTGAAAAAACAAGCACACTACACTACTTGAACACTACACTACACCAAGATAGAAGTTGCGATTCACACCTAAGTGAAAGAACAAGTGAAAGATGAAGGATGGGAGAGAAAATCACTCACATGAGCTCACATACACAAGGGGGAAAGTTGCGATTCACACGGGAGAGATAGAATAGACAAAACAAGCACATTACACTACCCCAACACTACACTACACCAAGATATAAGTTGCGATTCACACCCAAGTAAAAGAACAAGTGAAAGATGAAGGATGGGAGAGAAAATCACTCACATGAGCTCACATACACAAGGGGGAGAGTTACGACTCACATGGGAGAGGTAGAATAGGCAAAACAAGCACATTACACTACCCAAACTCTACACTGCACCAAGATAGAAGTTGCGATTCATACCCAAGTGAAAGAACAAGTGAAAGATGAAGAATGAAAGAGAAAATCACTCACATGAGCTCTCATACACAAGGAGGAAAGTTACGATTCACATGGGAGAGGTAGAGTAGACAAAAAACAAGCACATTACACTACTCAAACACTACACTATACCAATATAGAAGTTGCGATTCACACCCAAGTGAAAGAACAAGTGAAAGATGAAGAATGAGAAAGAAAATCACTCACATGAGCTCACATACACAAGGGGGAAAGTTGCGATTCACATGGGAGAGGTAGAATGGACAAAACAAGCACATTACACTACTCATACACTAGAATACATGAAGATAGAAGTTGCGATTCACACCCAAGTGAGAGAACAAGTGAAAGATGAAGAATGAGAAAAAAAAACACTCACATGAGCTCACATACACAAGAGAGGAATGAGTCGAAAAAGAGGGAGAAGAAGAAGGAGAAGTAGAAGAGGAAGAAGAAGGAGAGGAAGAAGAAGAAGAAGAAGAAGAAGAAGAAGAAGAAGAAGAAGGAGGGAGAAGAAGAAGGGGGATGGAGGAGAGGGAGGTGAAGGAGAGGGAGAGGAGGAAGAAGAGAAGGGAGAAGAAGGGGAGGCATCTCTCCAGTCACCCCTCGGCGGCCTTGGGATGAAGGTCTTCAGTCTTGATGAACTTCCTCTCACTTGGCTATGGCTTTCTTCCCCTCCAAGCCTTTCTCCTGCCTTTCTCCTCTCTTCCCAGGTTGCCACAGGCTCCTATCACTAAGGGTAGGGAGTCCTC